GAGAACAAGAGATGGGAGCTTTGCGTTTGGCCCGAGGTCTGAGCGGGAGGCTCTTAGGAGGCTCTTGAAGTTCAGTGGCTTTAGGTTTTCAATCTTTTCCTCCTTTTTGTGCTCTTGCGACTCCAAGTCTGAGAGGTGCTTTTTTTTTTGTTGTTTTGTTTTGTTGTTTTCTTTTTAAACCTTGCCCAGTCCTTGGTGGGGTGGTGGAGGGCAGACACAAGTCCACAGCTCCGCGGGTGCTGAGGGCAGGCAGGGCTCAGGCGAGCTGACCGTGTGCACACACCAGTCAGACCTTGTAGTCTCTCCTAAGTATATCAAGTCCCATCTCACAGATGACCATGAGGCACAGAGCAATTAAATACCTTGCCAAGGTGATAGCTGGTCCCCCATTGGGGTCTGAGACCAGCAGCCTGGTGCCAGGCTTCTTGCCTCCTCCTCTGTCCACGTCCTCCTGGTGTTTCTCCCATGTAGCCCCTGGGCCGTGGACCACCGAGCATCAACCCTGCAAGGTGAGCCCCCTACAGCGAGACTGCGGTGGTGTGACTCCTCCTGGCTGACTGTTGCTTCTGTGTGAGCAGGGTGTTCATCTCAGAGACACTTAGGAAAACATACAGGAGCCCGTCTTTCCCCCTTCATCAGCCTTCATGAGCCACTCCCCAGGCCTCTGGCCCCTCACTCCTGCTGTGTCCACCAGACCTGCCAGAGGGCTCTGGCCCGCTCTCCTGGGCAGGGCACAGGTCTTCTCTGTAACTTGGGACAACAGTGATTCACATCTTTGAAATGTGTGTCTGTGTAGCAAATGAGCCAGTGCTTTAAAAAACCAGAGCACTTCTGCAACTGACTGAAAGCCACTAGGCTGGCAGGGCCAGTCCTCAGAGGGGGACCTCAGACGTTCTCTAGGAGTGTCTCTTTCCCCAAACTGGATGGATCCTGATGCCAGGAATCAGGTTTATACCAGAAGCTCCTCAGTGAGAGGTTTTGAAGTGGCTGCATCCTTTGGAAAACCCAGGTTGCTGAGAGTCACAAGGCCCTGAGGGCATGTGGGGACCCTCTTAAGGTTTGGTGACCCCAGGCTGTCAGGCTGGGCTCCGGAAGTGCTGGCTCCAGCCTGCTACCTCATGCTCTATGCAGTCCCAAAGGCCCTTTCTCAAGGCCTGGTCCAATGGCTGCCTCCTTCAAGGAGCCTCCCAGGTTCTGCCTGGATGGAAGACCCACCCTCCTCAGTTTCTGGCTTTCGTGAGCCTCACCAGGGAGTGGATATCTGGCACAGCCAACCCTCATTTGTAGGGTGTGCGTTCCGAGCCCCGTGCTGAGTGCTTACAACCTCCCCCTTCCTCGTAACACCCCTGTGAGCAGGTGTGCCTCCTACCCCCATGGTACAGTGGGGAAACTGAGGCTTATCAAGGTGCAGGGACTTGCCTGAGGTCACATGCCAGCATGTGGCAAAGTGAGGTTTGAGCCGAGACTCTGTGACCTCAGCCTGTGCTCACAGTGCTGGTCCCGTGGGGTCTGCTGGCTATGTCCCCGCCTCCTGTTTTGGGGTCTCTGGGCATGACTGCCCCTTGGGAAATGGAACCTAGTGGGCTTGCAAGCACATTTCTCATTTATTAAGGTCATACAATCCCTGGCCCTGTTTAGTGTCATTTTTGATGTTTAAGGGTGGTGTGGAAATTCCTCTCTTCCTACCTGACCCAGTTTCTAGGCTTTGGAAATGCCGTTTTGCTTCCTCCTCTCCCTCTTGTTTCTGCAATCAGGTGAGCACCCCCACTTCCTGCCAGCTGCTCCGATACATAGCTGATGTCCAGGTAAAGAGGTGAGGTGTGTGCTGAGCTCTGGGGTCTTTCTGAGCAGAGCCACAGGCTCGCCTGTGTGGTTCACCTGAGCCAGGAAGTCCATTCAAATGACCTTGTTCTTAATTGAAACGTGGGTCTTTTGTTCTTTTTTTGACTGTCAGCATGACCACTGCAGATTACCTTGACCTAAGGGATTCCTGGACCTCTTCTGTCCTCCTTTGTGACATCAGTTGAGAGAAAGAGACCAGAGGGGGCTCAGGAAGCCCACGGTCTTCAGCAGACCCCCACTCACCAGGCTTTGGTACCGGGCAGATTCCTGTGAAAGTCACCCCTGTTTTCTTCCCCTTAAAACACTCTGAACTAGTTATGCAGCTAAAGTTTTTGCTGAAATCTAGTCTGTTTTCTAGACCAGCCTGGTGCCCCAAGTGGAATCTTTGAGGCATATTTAGGGAGGTGGGGCAGAGGGAGTATGAAAATCCTTGTTAATGTTCACTTACTAAGCCCTTTAATGTCTGCTTATTTCTTCCACAGTTTCAGTAAGGATTTCAGGATTAAAAGACAACTAGTAGCTGGGTGTGGTGGTTCACACCTGTAATCCCAGCACTCAGGAGGCCAAGGCAGGAGACTCTTGAGTTTGAGGCTAGTATGGGCTCCATAATGATGGTGTCTAGCGTCTGTTTGGGGTGCTTTCTGCAGGGTAGAGCAGGGTGTGTGCTGTTGACTATAGGGCCGGTTTCCAGACTGGAATATTGGCTTAGCTGGGAGAGGACTCACTTTGTTTTTTGGTGTTGTGATGAAATATCCACCAAATTTAGCTCTTGATATTAAGCTTCTTTACAACAACGCACAACTATCATCCCCTTCCATCTCCAGAACTTTTCATCTTCTAGACTGAAGGTCTGTGTGGGTTAAACTAGCCCCCCTCCAAACATAAAAGACTCTGGGATTGGACTGCTCGCCGTGCCTGGTATAAAAGATGACACAGGGATTGCCTTTGTGTGCCTGGCTTAATTCACTTAACATAATGTCCTCAAGGCCCACCCATGTTGTAGCATGTGTCAGAAGTTTCTTCCGTTTCAGGGCTAAATAGTACTCCACTGCATGGATGGGCCACATTTGGCTCATTCCTCTCTGTGTTCGGACTCTTGGGTTATTTCTACCTTTTGGATGTTTTGGATAGCGTTGCTGTGGACGTGAATCTATAAGAGGGTGTTTGCTGACAATAGAGGAGCCAGTGTCCTAGGGCCCCTCTGCCGATGCCTCTGTGAGGGGCAGAGAGCATGTTGTTCCAAGGCTGGGCCCACAGCAGTGTTTAAGAGCCTGGGTCAGGCTGGACACTTGACACTCACTGTGTCCTTCAGCCCTGCCAGGGCCCTGACATTTCTACAGTGTTATTTGCAGTTGCCATATGAGAAAACAGAGAGGCGAGGAGGATTTGGTCTCCCAGCCAGCACGGGTGGCTGGCACCCAGGCAGCACCTGGCCTGCCTGCTCTGAAGCCATCGTGCCCAGGCCCCTGCTGTGCTGTCACCCTACTGTGGAGGCCGGGTGCCCAGAACTATAGGAGTTAAGGGCGCTAGGTGACTGTGACATTGAAAGAGACAATGGACTTTGCTTCTGCGTTCCACTGAGGAGGAGCAGCTGTGGGCAAGGTGGCCTGGGCACTTGTCACTGGAGATTACCACGGAGAGGGCTGGTTTGCTGCTGCCCAGTACGTCTTAGGGCTGTGGAAAATGGTGGTGTCTGGATGATCCCTGCCCCCACTGGCTCTGGGGCTGGAGCCTGAGGTGCAGCTGGGGCCCAAAGCCATGCTCCAGACCTCAGAAGTGTGTGCCGTTTAACCAGCAAACTCAGCTCCACGTCTGCATGGCTGCCCTTGCTCCCCGGTGGCTATGGCCTGAGGGCCAGCAGTTTCTCAGTAGTACCAGGGGAGACAAGAGGTCCTTCTGTTGCACTGGGACTCAGGCTGAGCCTCTAAGCTTGTAGCTGTCCGAGCCCCAAAACCATCACACCCCTGCGCCCAGCACACCACGATCTGTGCTCTCTCCACACACAGAGGCCACGGTATTGCCCATTGGAGCCCCAGTTCGGTCTGAGACTCTGCCTGGCTGCTCTAGCAGTCCCAGGGCCCAGAGTCTCAGACAGAGCCAGGGCTCTGGCTGCCACCTCTTGCCTGAGATGACAAACTTCCCTCCAGTGACTAGGAGAGACACAGATAGATAGAAATAAAGATTTTATAACTTATGGGTCTTGGGACACATGCGTGTGCTCACACATCAGGGAGCGTGTGTGTGTGTGTGTGTGTGTGTGTGTGTGTGTGTGGCGGTGATGGGGAAATCCATGGGCCAGCACCTGTACTGGGCCTGGGGAATTATCTAAGCAGGTTCCTAAAGGAGTTTTAGTGGGTTTAGAGCAAGCAGGCCCAGCAAGTGACAGGATGGCCACTACAGCCCATCTTCACAGTCCATGCAAGGTGTGGGGGGTCATCAGGGCCAGCCAACCTGGCTGTATCTGGCTGTCCCCTAGGGAGGTGGTCACCAGCAGGCAGCTGCAGAGGACAGTGATCTGGAGGACCCACACCTGGAGCTAGGGGGTGGGACATGAATAGCTAGAAACCTTGTCCAGGGTGACTGAGTCCAGCTTCCGGCCTGAGAAAGTCCAACACACGTAAAACAGACACCTGAAATTACAGGAATTCACTGCACCCGCCATCAGATCTCTGTCCCCATGAATGTGGCCATCCATAGTGGCACACTCAGTTTGCTTTCTCACGTACATGAGGACGGCTGTCCACACCTTGAGTCCCCAGAGCAGGACTGGGTTCCCGGGGAGCGAGGGCAGCTCCACTTTCTCAGGTCCTGCCGTGGTCTATGCTTTGTCTGCCACAGCAACCTCAGGCAGGACTGGAATCCTCTAAAAGCTTCCAGAAGCTTCCTTGTCTTAGTCCATGTGTTCCAAACAGCAGTGCAACCAGACTGCCGGGGCTTGCAGGGAATTAGGAAATGTTTGGCACGGGGTAACCTTGCAGGGCGGATTCCTGGTTAGGAGAACTTCCTTTACACTCTTCCTGGGCAACCAGCCGGTTAGGGAGGTTTGTGAAATGTGGGAAACATGGGAGGTTATTTCTCTCTCCTTCAAAATCAGCGTGTGAGGCTGCTGCACTCCGTTTACACTGACCGAGTTTTTCTTTTTCTTTTTTGCCCAACAGTGAGTGACCTGCAAGAAGAAGGCAAAAGTGCTATCAACTCGCCGATGTCCCCTGCTTTGGTGGGTGTTCACCCTGAAGACGCCCTGCTAGGTACTGTGGATGCTTGGCTCCTTCTATGAGTCAGTCGTGTGTCCCTGGCGTTAAACTGGTCTTGGTCTGGCCCTCAGATCAAACCCGACACATGGGTCTCAGTTAAGGTCATGTTTAGAGAGTTCCCAGGGAGAAACTAGCCCTCATTCCCCAGTCTTAAAATGTAAGTTTTACTCTTTTTCAGTTATGGTGAAGCTGCCAGATTAGGGAGCACTGATAATGGGAAGTTAGTTTGCTATGGTCACAGTTCCTGTAGGAGGACCGCACAGGGCCATATGGCAGTGAACCAGGGCTGGCCGTGAGGCGGAGGGATTAAGGGCAAGCTTTGCTTTTCCTCAGTGGAAATGGGCTCAGCCCAGGCTGGTGGAAGTGACTTCACGCTCTGGGACCGAGGGGCTGTCCTGAGTTGTCTGGCTCCCCACTTGGGTGGTGAGGTCGTGTGTGGCGTGTTGGCTTAGTGTGGGAGAGCCCCGAGAGAGCCCTGTGGAGGAGAAGGTTGGGATGTGAGCACTGGGCTGACTTTCCAGTGGACCGTGTGCCCTCGGGAGTATCATAAGCCAGCCCTGTTGACAGTCTCCCTTGTCAGCAGCCCCAAGACCGGGCATCAGGAGATGCAGAAGTAAGGTTCAAGCTCATCTCTGTCCTGTCCCTGCACATCAGAGGCCCCAAGGCCTGCACTGGTCAGGTGGGACCGTTGAGCAGCCCCGTCCATCCCCTCAGCCCCCACTCCCTGCCCCAGGCTATCTGGGTGATGGCCCAGGTAAATCTCTCTTAGATTGTGTTTGGGGAGCTAGTCAGTCTGGAAGCCAAGTCTACTTATTTCCAAACCCTGCTTCAAAGGGAGGTCCTTGCCCGTCCCTCTGGGTTTAGTGGCAAGGTACAACTGGCAGAGGAGCAGGTGTAGGCAGATCCTGCCAGCCGGGCAGTGAGAGCTGGGCCAGTTCCCTAAGGTCCTGTGGGCCCCCGGGGCTCTCTGTGCTCTGGCCAGTGCACCTCTGGTGGGGCTGTCCTCAGATTGCCTGGAGCTGCTGCCCAGCAGGTACCCTAGGCCACTCAGCCTGGGGACCTGCTTTAGGCCTGGGAGTCCTGCCTTAGGGTGGGGCTTCTTCTCTTTGGGCTGCGGCCGCTGCTGACCATCCTTGTGCAGCCCTGACCTTTGCCCACTAGATGGCAGAAGTGCCCCCGGGCGGGAATGTAAATCCCTAGAAAATGGGATTTACTCTGACCCTGACCTCTGCTATCTCAGAGATGCCTTTTGGGCCCTAACCCTCCTCGTCTGTGGCCTTTCCAAATTGCTGCCTTTGACCTGGACTTGTCATTTTTTATTTTGTCCTGGAAGGTTCCTCTAAACTGTGATGCTCGCATGACCTGGCTCAGGCCTGGCCTGGTCAGTGCCTGACCTGCCCCATGTGGGAGGGATGGTAGCCAACCGTGGACTTGAGGGCTCTGCCTTGATCAGTGGGTGTCACCAGCGACGAGCATGGTGACCGTGCCATAGAGTTTGAAGGGGCAAAGCTCCCAGTCTCAGCTGTCCGGTTTTCTGGTGAGGAGGAAAGGGATCTTTCAGACCCTCCTCATCGCCAGAGCCCGCAAGTCCTGCTTCTTCACACAGATGTCACAGGTATCCAGGGTGCTGGGTGACGAAGGTTCCGGCTCCCCAGGCCTGCTGCAGAGGAACCCATGGGCCTGGCACCTCCAGTTACTCTGGGCCCCCCTGGAGTTTAGGGGTCACTTCCCTCCAGAATGTCCAAGCACTGGGGGGGGGGGGGCGCCTGTCAAGCAGCAGCTTGGGCAGGGGTTGGATGCCCTGGATCCTGTGCTAATGGGAGCAGGAGATTTCCAGAGCTAGCAGTGATGGGCTGACAGTGAGAAGCTCGAAGGCCCAGGCTTACACGTTTTATGTCTGGAGCGAGGCCTCCTGGTCTGTGCAGAGCCCCCAAGCCTAGCCTCCTGCCACACCTCTGTGCCTCTGGGAGATTTCAGTTGAGTCTCACCAGAGACCTGGCCACTGTCTCCCTCTAGTTGGGGTTAGGTTTGGTCCACCCCACAGGGAAGTGAGAAGCCAGGGATGCATCTAAGAACATGCCTGCTGGCACTGAGGCTCGCAGAGGTGTCTGTCTTTCACCTTCACAGGTGCTAACCAGAGCTTCCTTGTAGGGCCAGGCCACTGCTCCTTACCGGTGGCACCCAGACTCAGGTAGGGCTGCCCTGCAAGGAGCCCACAGTTCTGAGGACACCAAGCAGGCACTGAGCCTGTCCAGCCCGAGGTGCTCAGAGTCCAGCCCGGGGAGTTGCTCCATCTGAGTCAGCTGACTGGCCCTGCATTAGCCTGATGCCCTTTCCTTCAGCAGTGGGAGCCAGGGTGGGGACGCAGGTACTGCTGAGTTCTGTGTGGATTGCAGGCGGTGTTCCTAGAATAGCCTCTGAGGGTCAGGTGCAGGTAGTGACTGGCTGTGGTTAGAGGAGCCTCCACACTCTGGCTTCCACGTGGCTCTGGGACTTTTATTTCTGATCTCTGTGGGTCTCCCCCCTCCCCAACCCTGCCTGCAGACTTGCTTCCTCCCCACGTCCACGGCATGAGCCCGTGTGGCAAGCTCAGCTGGGTCCCCCATTGTCCATGGGATTCGGGCTGGAGCGTGGAGGGAATAAACAGGGAAACAGAAGAGGGTAGGGATGGATATGCTGTGCTGTGAAACAGCATCTTTTCTCAGGTTTTTACTGTTTCTTTTTGCTTTCTCCCTTTCTCCCTTTCTTCCTTCCTTCCTCCTTCCCTTCCTTCCTTCTTTCCCTTCCCTTCCTCCCTCCCTCCCTTCCTTCCTTCTTTCCTTCCTCCCTTCCTCTCTTCCTCTCTTCCTCTCTCCCTCCCTCCCTTCCTCCCTTCCTCTCTTCCTCTCTCCCTCCCTCCTTCTGTCCTCTCTCCCTCCCTCCCTTTCTCCCTTCTTTCTTCCTTCCTCCTTCCCTTCCTTCTTTCCTTCCTTCCCCCTCCCTCCCTTCCTTCCTTCCTCCCTTCCTCTCTCCCTCTCTTCCTCTCTCCCTCCCTCCCTTCCTCCCTTCCTCCCTCCCTCCCTTCCTTCCTTCCTCCCTTCCTCTCTCCCTCCCTCCCTTCCTCCCTTCTTCCCTCCCTCCCTCCCCTTCCTTCCTTCCTCCCTTCCTCTCTTCCTCTCTTCCTCCTCCCTCCCTCCCTTCCTCCCTTCCTCTCTTCCTCTCTCCCTCCCTCCCTTCCTGTCTTCCTCTCTCCCTCCCTCCCTTTCTCCCTTCTTTCTTCCTTCCTCCTTCCCTTCCTTCTTTCCCTTCCCTTCCTCCCTCCCTCCCTTCCTTCCTTCCTCCCTTCCTCTCTCCCTCTCTTCCTCTCTCCCTCCCTCCCTTCCTCCCTCCCTCCCTTCCTCCCTTCCTCTCTTCCTCTCTCCCTCCCTCCCTTCCTCCCTTCTTCCCTCCCTCCCTCCCTTCCTTCCTTCCTCCCTTCCTCTCTTCCTCTCTCCCTCCCTCTCTTCCTCTCTTCCTCTCTCCCTCCCTCCCTTCCTCCCTTCCTTCCTTCCTTCCTCCTTCCCTTCCTTCCTTCTTTCCCTTCCCTTCCTCCCTCCCTCCCTTCCTTCCTTCTTTCCTTCCTCCCTTCCTCTCTTCCTCTCTTCCTCTCTCCCTCCCTCCCTTCCTCTCTCCCTCTCTCCTCCCTCCCTCCCTTCTCCCTTCCTTCCTTCCTTCTCTCCCTTCCCTTCCTCCCTCCCTCCTTCCCTTCCTCTCTTCCTCCCTCCCTCCCTCCCTTCCTTCCTTCCTCCCTTCCTTTGTTCCTCTCCCTCCCTCCCTCCCTCCCTTCCTTCCTTCCTTTCCTTCCTTCCTCCTCTCTCCGTCCCCCCTCCTCCCCTTCTCCCTCTCCCTCCTTACTCTTATGCTTATTCTTCCCTTTCAACAGTCTCACTGTGTTGGCTAGCCAGTCCTCCTGACTCAGCCTCCTCTGAGTGCTGGGATTGCAGGCATGCACACCATGCCCGCCCTGCTCTTTGCTAGTTCTTCCTGATATTTCTTTGTACATACAAGGTTGCATACTGATTTATTCCCACTTAATGATTTAAACTGTGCTCTAACCATCCTGGCTTCTCCCAGATGCTATTCCATGTGTCACAGGGAAACACCGGTGCATGAAGCTTTTCTCACCTGACATGTCTGGCCAGGGAATGGTTCTCTCTCACATGGGTATGGTTTGGACTAGCTGCTGGAGGAGTCAGGGAGGGGGAGTCTGGGTAGAATGATGGAGTCTGGCTTCATCTCCTTGCCGCAGCACTGTGTAGTTTGATTTTGAGATTGGTGCATGACTGATGAGGCCATGTGGCGTGTCCTCACTGAGAAAATGCCCAGGTCTCTGCTTCTCACCCTATTCCCCGCCCCCAGCATCCCTGCCCCCCACAGACTTACTGTCACCCTTTTGTCCCTGGCAGAGGAGAATGAGGAGCGCACCATGATCGACCCCACCTCCAGGGAGGACCCCAAATTTAAGGAACTGGTCAAGGTAAGGGTCCTGTTTAGGCGCGGTCTGGCCCTGGAGCTCAGGGCTTTTGTGGGCAGGGGGAGCCAGGCCCCTGGGCTCCTGGAAGGGACATTAATGTTGTGTCAGGAGGGGGACACCTGTGGGCCAAAGTGTGGAACAGAGAACAGAACATAAGAGGGTCAGCCTGCAGCACTGAGCCCACCCAATGCTGGTGCAGCCTGGGCCTGTAAGCTGCTCTGTGCAATGGGCCAGATGGAGCCGTGCAGGGCAGGGGCATTTGAGGGTCTGGCAGTGTTTGGAGTTCCTGATCCCAGTGCCCTACAGGTGGGCCACACACTCCTGGAGCAGGTGGGTCTGTACTGGGCCACTCTGCATATCTAGGTATATGGTCCAAGGCCCCTTCTGCAGAGGGACCTCCTGGCTGCTGCACCTGCAAGGCCAATGGACCATATTAGCTTTGTGGGGGAGGATGAATATAAGCTAGATGGGAAAGCTGACTGCTTTGACCCCAAAGTCACAGGAAGAACAAGGGCAGGGGCCGTGGCTGGTGGTTGCTGGGGAGCAGAGGGCAGCTGTCCTCTCACGGGGGGGGGGGGGGCGAAGCTTTATTTGTGGTGTTGTCTGTGTGGTGTTTATTGCTCTGATCTAAACCATGACAGGGTGGCCTCTGAGAACAGAGGCCAGCAGGGCTCAGGTACTGTCCTGGCCTCACTACACCCTGTACCAGCTCTAGGGCAGCTGTGGGAAAGGCCTCTCTCCTACACCCCACAGCCATCTCAGGTGACCTGACTTGGGGCTTTGGAGAATGCTATGTGTGACAGCATGACAGTGTCTGCTGGAAAGAGATGTTTTTCTATTATTCTTCCACTTTCACTGTCATGTCTGGACCTGATGCTTTGCTGGCCTGTGTTTCCATCAGGGGTCAGTCAGGACATGTAATATAAGACCATACGTGCAACTTGTAGCCTTTGCGAAATGTAAATTAAACACGTCAGTTTTTAGGTTCACCCTCCCATGGTGGTTCTTTTTTGTTTTTTGGATCTTGTTTGTAGTGCTGGGGAATCAAACCTAGGGCCTCACGTATGCTAGGCAAACACTCTGCCACTGAGCCCTACCCCAAGCCACAATATGTTGATTTTTAATAATTTGGGATTATCAAGTTTATTTTGTTAAGGATCTCCGGCCCCCCCCCGCCGCCCTGCCAACATATGCTGTTCTGTTATTCAGAACAACAGATTTTAAGTAACTTGTTTTGCCACCAAAATATTATTCACAAGGGGTATTTAAGCCTGGGAATTGTCAGAGTTCTCCAGAGAAACAGCTTTGAGAGAGAGAGAGAGAGAGAGAGAGAGAGAGACAATGAGATGGTAAGATACTTGCTTAGGCAGTTGTGGAGGCTGAGATCTGCCCATTGCATGCTGGCACCCTTGGAGAGCCTTCCTTAGGGCAGAGGCCCAAGACCCAGAGGAAGGCCACTGAATTCCAGCTTGGATATAGAGGCCCAGAGCTGGGAGCATTGAGGGCAGAACGTCCATGTGTGGCTCACACAGTCCCAGGCATGGAGTCTTTGCCTTCCTTGGCCATTTTGCCTTCTGCATGACCTCACCAGAGTGGATGCTGACCCCCACCCCGGGGAGGCATCTGCTTTACGCTGCCCACTAGTCACACACTCACCTATTCTGGGAACACCCTCACAGACTCACTGAGAAATGATGTTCGGCCAGCTAACTGGGCACCCTGGAGCCCAGTCAAATTGACACATACCAAGCCATCACACCGGCCTTTCCGAAGTCTTGACTTCCACATTTGAGCCAGGGTTGAGAATACACAAGCTCTGCTGTCAGCGTCATCTCCTTGCGACCCCTAGTGTCATCCTCGCTTCCCCTGGAGACTTGGACACACTGGGGAATGCTGATGGGTTCAGGTTGGAGTTAGGCCCCATTTGATGCCCTGCTCACTGAGCTGGCTGAGTGGTAGGAGCCCTGCTAGGCCCTGGGACTGGAGGGATGACTAAGGCATTCCCATCCTGTATGGGATCTGTGTGATGTTCTGCCCTGGTTCACCCACCCCGACCCCTGCCTTTGCCTTTCCTGTAAGACCACAGGCTGTTTGGGCCGTGGTGGGATGAGGGCTGCACCAGCCCACCGGGAGGAATCATGGTATCTCTGGCATCCACTGAGGTCAGTGCAGGTTCTGGCTCCTCTGTCTCTTCTGGATTGCAGATTTGGGTCAGGGGCCACATTGCAGGGCAGGAAGTATGCCCACCAGAGAGTTAGGAAGCCCTGGGCAGCAAAGCAGGGCTAAGGACAAGAAGGAGGGAGGAGACTGTGTTCCTCAGCAGTCCTCCTTCCCTAGGTCTGGTTCTGACCCCAGTGGCTCCCTAGGATGGCCATGTGGCCTGGGCTTTTTCCCAAGGCTGCATCCAGCTTGTCACACACCTGCCTCACCTCCCTTTCCCTCACGGGCTGATCTGGGGTAGCAGTGCCCTCAAAAGCACTGGCAGTGAGCTCCTCCCCAACTCCTTCCTAGGTGAACCCAGGTGTGGCAGGCTGCATCGTGGTCCCCAGTGGCCTAAAGATGACCAAGTGAAACTACTTTACATGGCAACAGGGATGACGCAGAGGTGGCTAGGTGCTAGCTGGCTTATCAGGTGGGCAGAGGAGTTGGATGGCAGGCGACTATGGGAAATGGAGGTGAAGCAGATGCCAGCTGCTGCCTGGAGGATGGAGGGAGGGGCCAGGCTCCAAGGGACCTGAGAAGCTTCTTGAAGCAGGGAAAGCAGGGAAAGCAGGGATTCTCCCTGGAGGGACTGAGGATCCAGCTCCCCTTTCCTGATACCTGGACATTAACCTGGGACCTGGGACCTCCAGCATGCAGGACGGTCCACTGGTGCTGTTGGAAGCCACCTGTTGTGGAATTTTGTTAGAGCAACCCCAAAGAGCTAATGCAGCTGCTAAGCAACTCCCTCTCCACATTGCTGCCTCTTCCGTGCAGCTGACAGCCATCCAGACTGGCCAGGCAGAATGGCCTCGCTTCTTGGTGGTGTCAGTGTCCTTGGCTATTTCCTGGAAAGACTGGTGGCCAGATGCAGAGATGTCTGTTCCTGTAACTGTCTCACCAGCCGGGAGCGCATGGACTTGGATTTCTAGGAGAACCCACCTGCTGTCAGGCCGCAGGTCACAGCTCGAAGCAGGCTGGCATCCTACTTCTGTCTCTGGATCAAGTGTTTTCCACATAAGTGAAACACAGCAGCGGGAGCAGCCCCAGGGTGACCGTCCGGCTTGCTCATTGCCGCTGTGGTGACATGGAGGATGTACATAAAATACTAAAGTTCTTAGGAGCAGAAGCTTGTGAACAGAAGCAAGTGGGGGTGGCGAGCGTGCTGCGCACACGTGGACTAGTCCTGTTTTTCAGTGCGCAGGGGGCTGTGCAGAGGCTGTGCCCCTGGCTGGGTTTGGTCACACTGTGGATTGGCACCTCCTTTCCTTGGCTTGAGGGGAAGGGGTTCACTAACTGCACAGGGCCCAAGCATTGTGCAGTGCAGTAAGTACGGGAGGATCAGCTTCCAGCTGCCGGAGGACCAGAGGCCAGCATGGGACCTGTCTTTGGGGCTGCTGCCGTCCTGGGTGTTAGACTGAAAAGCACAGAGAGATAGACAATGTGACAGCTCATTGTCAGCACAAGTTTATTCAGGAGAAGAAACCTGTGGAGGGGTCTCCAGCAAGAGAGCTAGACTCCACTGCCATTTACAGGCTGAGAGGAAGGATGTGGTAAAGGGTGGGGAAGTTTCCATTGTGGCTTGTCCATTGTCCTTTGCTAGGGGTAGCCAAGGAACTGGTATTGCGTTCTGGTACAGGTTCTGGGAAACAGGACATTTCAGTCATGGACCGATGGCAAGAATAGGACACTGCTGGGGGTAATCAAGGAAATAGGGCTTGCATTCTGGCACAGGTGCTGGGGAAAAAAGAGATTTCCTTTGGAGGGCTGCCCCTGCTGGAGCCAAACAACTGTAGGGTCAAGCAGAGTTTAAGATGGCACAGGTGATGTCAAGTTGAGACCTAACACTGGACTCCTCAGAAGTGCTCTGCCCAGACCCCTTCCATCTCGCTCTCTGCCCAACCTTCTCCCTCCCTCTTCTCCTGCCACCCTGGCCTCCTCATTGATGGCCATTCTGGGCATGCCCTCCAGGTGTGAGGTCAGAGGGGACAGAGCTCTCCTTTCAGACATCAGTGGCAAGTTCTGGGGACTCCAGGACTCTGGGTAGCTGGTGTCATTGAGGTCACAGTGACAGGACACAGTGAAATCAGCCAAGGGGATGTGTACAGGGCAGAGCTGAGAAAGTACCAGTGTGGAGCTTCTCATTGTCCTTGCACTATGGCTCAGTGCACAGTGTCACTCTCCTGTCTGCACTGTATGACAACATGCACGGGGTATTGGCAGCTAGGGAAGTCACTGGAGCCTCAGGGTGCAGAGTTCTTGTTGGGGTGAGACCAATGGCCACACGGTTGATTTGGGTTCCCATTGCCTCTAGTGGGCAATGGATTGAGCGTGACCCAAATGACGCTGTCACTCTCTGACTGAGTCCCCCACTGAGGCTCCCAGGTAAACAAAGGCACATTACAGGCAGGACATTACCGGGTGGCTGATTGATCAACTCCAGGAGCCACAGGCACAGGCCAGCCTCTCTTTGCAAGGTTAGAGTTTTTGCCATGTACCTGGCCTTTGAACTTGCCAAGACCCCCTGCCTGGAGTGGTCTTCTTCATGTCTTTCAGTGTCTTAGACATTTCTTCCTCTGAGACATATGTTCTGGCCCCTTCTTCCACCCTTGGGTTGTCATTCTTACTCTGCTTCATTTTTCTCCCTGGCCTTGCTGCTGCCTGGAGTCATGATCTATTTGCTAGTTTTGGGTCTTTCTCCTCCGAGAATGGACAGCTGTCTCTAGTATTCATGGGGACTGGCTCCAGGAACCCCTGCAGCTTCCTTATATAAATTGGTGCAGTATCTGTGTAGAACCTATTGC